CCCCAAAACCCCAAAACCCCAAAACCCCAAAACCCCTTTTGGTTTTAATGAAATAGAATCACTTATGTTAGGCTAAACTTTAGACTTCCTAAATTGCTTCTTCAACTTATCAGCAATGCTGAATATCTTGCTATTGATGTCTTTATCACCATAAACATGGTTGCTCTGACTCAGTGGGCTCTTGTAATTCCCCCTTAGAGACCTCTTGCTAGCTTGCAGCTTTAGGTTATTCTAAATATTTGACAAATTAGGATTACTTGAGGCTCATTATTCATGCCATGGGAGTAAGACTTGTTCTTTTTAGCTGCTTCATGAAGGTTGATCACTCTTTTAGCAGCATTGGCTGCTCCAAGTCTAAACTTCCTCTGCAAGTTCAGAAGGTACTTGCTTGAGTTTCTTTGGAGCTTATTTGATTGCTTCCCTCTTATGGAAGATGACTTTAAGTCTGTACTTGACTCATTAGCCAGCTTGTGTTTCCTCTTTGGAATTGAATGAAAAAGACTAGAGGGGTTTGTTTCTGACGAAGCAACATTGACTGAGTCATCAAACATGCTAGATCGCTCTAATTTTCTTTGAGACTCTCAATATTTAGTAGGTGAACTCTGGGAAGACTCTAGCTTGTGCATATATGATCTTATGCTTGTTAAATCTTGCTGGAAGCTATCTAACGGATTAATTTTGGATAGCTCTTCTATATTACCGATTAGGAACTTTCTAGAGAATTTTTGAAAATCATACCAGTTTGGTCATTTACGCAATGCGAGTCAAATAATTTTCTTTCATCCTGTATAGTGGCTCTTCCATTTCATTTTCTACTCATTGGATCAATTACGAACTTATGCCTCGGAGATGGTGAAGCCCTACTCGAATTTCCTTTCAGAAATTGTAAATTTTTGTGAAAATTATTGTGGGATGATGCCCTTGGCAGAATACTGCCAATACTTTTCTCATTGACTAATTTCTTCTTCTCAGTCATTTCCTTAACCTCTTGTTCACCTTGATGCCTACTTTGAACAGGAGACCCCTCTTGTTCTTTGATCTTAATGATCCTACTATTGGTAGGATGCTGCACCTGAAGTCCTCGTTCTTGATCTAAAATGATGTAAACATGAATGATCTATTTATAACTAACATTGTAGACAGACAGATAAATGAATATTTAAGAAGAAGAGGCTCTTACATTCTTCTTTAATACTATCTTTTGGCAACATAGGTGCTGGTGGGTACTTGACCATCTGCCTTTGCTTCCGGGTCCTCCTCGGCTTGCGGTTGGTCATACCTAGAATTAAGTTCATATTTGGGATAAGTACATGTCTTGGTACTGAAGGATGGCTTGGATAGTAACGCTGGCTTCTGAGGCACAGGTCTTTTAGAGTGACCGATAAGTGGAATTTTGGTAGACAGAGGTCTGGAACGGTACATTTTTGTGATAAATATTTTAAGTTTTAGTGAATGTAAAGGGGTTTTGGGGTTTTGGGGTTTTGGGGTTTTGGGG